GAAGAAGAAGGAGGAGGAGGAAGAGGAGAAAAAAGAGGAGGACGAGGAGAAGAAGAAGACGACGACTTTACTCTCTATGGTCCTAGCGTGTCAAACATTATGTTACTACTTGACAAACCTGCTGTTTCGTGACTTCCTGCACCAACTGGCGGTTAGAAGACATGCAGGCGAGACGCGACCACGTCTAGTGTAAGCGAGCTAGGGCTACAGCCATAGCCAGAGAGAGATCGCAAACCCAACGTCCACTAACATTGACATGTTCAACTGCTGTGTGAAAGTGTGCTTCTCCTTCCCGTTCGCTGGCTGTAAATTCTGGCAGAAAGATTTGGTTGCTCTGTTACTTTTGGATTATAGTCTGTTCCAGAGCTTGAGTGTTAAGTGTGCATCCGTTTTACAGGTCTCACTTATTGTTATGTAGACTGTTAGATCTTTGCCTCTAAGGCAGATGTTGTGAAACAGCCATGATAACACTGCAGTGAAACAGTCATGATGATACTGCAGTGGAAGAGTCATTATAGTACTGCAGTGGAAGAGTCATGATGGTACTGCAGTGGAAGAGTCATGATGATACTGCAGTGGAAGAGTCATGATGGTACTGCAGTGGAAGAGTCATGATGATACTGCAGTGGAAGAGTCATTATAGTACTGCAGTGGAAGAGTCATGATGATACTGCAGTGGAAGAGTCATGATGATACTGCAGTGGAAGAGTCATGATGGTACTGCAGTGGAAGAGTCATGATGATACTGCAGTGGAAGAGTCATGATGATACTTCAGTGGAAGAGTCATGATGATACTGCAGTGGAGGAGTCATGATGATACTGCAGTGGAAGAGTCATGATGATACTGCAGTGGAAGAGTCATGATGATACTGCAGTGGAAGAGTCATGATGGTACTGCAGTGGAAGAGTCATGATGATACTACAGTGGAAGAGTCATTATAGTACTGCAGTGAAAGAGTCAGGATGGTACTGCAGTGGAAGAGTCATGATGATACTGCAGTGGAAGAGTCATTATAGTACTGCAGTGGAAGAGTCAGGATGATACTGCAGTGGAAGAGTCATGATGATACTGCAGTGGAAGAGTCATGATGGTACTGCAGTGGAAGAGTCATGATGATACTGCAGTGGAAGAGTCATTATAGTACTGCAGTGAAAGAGTCAGGATGGTACTGCAGTGGAAGAGTCATGATGATACTGCAGTGGAAGAGTCATTATAGTACTGCAGTGGAAGAGTCAGGATGATACTGCAGTGGAAGAGTCATGATGATACTGCAGTGGAAGAGTCATTATAGTACTGCAGTGGAAGAGTCAGGATGATACTGCAATGGAAGATTCATGATGGTACTGCAGTGGAAGAGTCATGATGGTACTGCAGTGGAAGAGTCATGATGATACTGCAGTGGAAGAGTCATGATGATACTGCAGTGGAAGAGTCATGATGGTACTGCAGTGGAAGAGTCATGATGATACTGCAGTGAACGAACGAACAAACTTTATTTTCAAGGGGTTACAAATTGGGCACGCAGGCCCGTCTAACATTTGGCCCTTCCAAGCACTCATTTTTCAGAGTACCAATGCCTGTTATCTAAAATGCATGTTATCGATATAATAAAGAAATATACATTATAGTGAAGAGTCATGATGGTACTGCAGTGGAAGAGTCATGATGGTACTGCAGTGGAAGAGTCATGATGATACTGAGGTGAAAGAGTCATGATGATACTGAGTTGAAAGAGTCATGATGATACTGAGGTGAAAGAGTCATGATGTCACTGCTGTGGAAGAGTCATGATGTCACTGCTGTGGAAGAGTTATGATGTCACTGCAGTGGAAGAGTCATGATGTCACTGCTGTGGAAGAGTCATGATGTCACTGCTGTGGAAGAGTCATGATGTCACTGCTGTGGAAGAGTCATGATGTCACTGCTGTGGAAGAGTCATGATGTCACTGCTGTGGAAGAGTCATGATGTCACTGCTGTGGAAGAGTTATGATGTCACTGCTGTGAAAGAGTCATGATGTCACTGCTGTGGAAGAGTTATGATGTCACTGCTGTGGAAGAGTCATGATGTCACTGCTGTGGAAGAGTTATGATGGTACTGAGGTGGAAGAGTTATGATGCCACTGCAGTGAAAGAGTCATGATGGTACTTTTGAATCTGTATTTTCCCTTAAAAGGCAGTTTACAAGCTGCACTGTGGTTAACAGCTAGGCTGTGATTTTTGCATCTTTTACCCTAACACATCCGATTTCAGCAAATCCTTAATAAATCGCCTTTAATGACACACGTCTTTAATGCGCATTTATATCCCGAACTATTTTTACAGCACACATGTTAAGCAGATGTGTGCTTTTTCCCGTCCCCCACATGTTGTCCCAGTGCCCACACAGGGAGCGTAGGGTGGTGGAATTGCCTGTGCATATGCATGTCAATATAGAAGTCTGAGCTCAATAACCAGTTTGCACAAAACGGTTTGTTGTTGTTGCACACCGGTTATCTTTTGTTAATGTGCTATTGCAGAGAGCTAGAACCACAGCTATGCCAGTTTTCTGCAAACATGACAACCACAAGCAAACGTTGACCATAGGCTGTCCAGAACATTAGGCTTGATTGACAATACATTTTAATCACTGTTCCAATCTATGTCCTCTGTTTGCTGTCACTGTCTGTTGTCTAGGATTACGACTAGTAAACACTCAGCTCAAATATATTGGATGCACTAGGTTACTACTACTCATGAAACAATGTCCTATATGCATTCTAAGTTGCCAGAAAATCACGCTCCAGATTCACATCAAATTATTCAACAGAAACAGCTGCAGGTATCCTTACGGACATCCATTTTGATAATTTTAATGGCCAGATATTTATAGCCACTGCAGGCTGCTGGGGCAGACGCAGGCTGCTGGGGCAGACGCAGGCTGCTGGGGCAGACGCAGGCTGCTGGGGCAGACGCAGGCTGCTGGGGCAGACGCAGGCTGCTGGGGCAGACGCAGGCTGCTGGGGCAGACGCAGGCTGCTGGGGCAGACGCAGGCTGCTGGGGCAGACGCAGGCTGCTGGGGCAGACGCAGGCTGCTGGGGCAGACGCAGGCTGCTGGGGCAGACGCAGGCTGCTGGGGCAGACGCAGGCTGCTGGGGCAGACGCAGGCTGCTGGGGCAGACGCAGGCTGCTGGGCAGACGCAGGCTGCTGGGGCAGACGCAGGCTGCTGGGGCAGACGCAGGCTGCTGGGGCAGACGCAGGCTGCTGGGGCAGACGCAGGCTGCTGGGGCAGACTTCCGGTTCACTGACATTCACTCATCCATACCACTCATCCCAACACCAAACAGATCTTCAGTTCTTTCATCCTTCTAATCATCTGGCCAGTTCGCATGCACTACCTTAACATGGCTCACTTCTTCCCATGTCCCATAACAATCATGCTAGCCTCGTGATTGTACTTCCCATGTCTCATAACAATCATGCTAACCTCGTGATTGTACTTCCCATGTCCCATAACAATCATGCTGACCTTGTGACTGTACTTCCCATTTCCCATAACAATCATGCTAACCTCGTGATTGTACTTCCCATGTCCCAAAACAATCATGCTGACCTCGTGATTGTACTTCCCATTTCCCATAACAATCATGCTAACCTCATGATTGTACTTTCCATTTCCCATAACAATCATTTTAACCTCTTTCAAAACCTCTTGGTTGCTCTTTTTGGCTGTCCAAGGTATTCTAAGCATTGTTCTGTAAAACCACATCTCCGAGGCCTCCAGGAATTGTTTGGCCTGCCTACCGATTGTCCAGGATTCACAGCCATATGTTGAAACTGGATGTATGTAGCAAGCAAGAATTCTTTTTCTAACTCTCAATGACAAGGATATATTGCACAAGATGTTTTTCATTTTATAAAATGCAGTTTTTGCCTGTCCTATTCTGTTTCTTATCTCAGTTATGCATCTTCCATCTGATGTTATCCATGTGCCCAGATACTTAAATTTCTGTACTTGTCCTAAAATTACACCATCAACTTTTATTACGCACTTAGGAATAATTTGTCACAGGATTACACTGATCAAACTACCACTAATAGATGATTGCTAGTGTTCTCCAGAAGCTTCTGTATCCCATGAACTTGATGATGCAGATTCAGAGGAACATGGCAGATTTTTGTCAATGCCTGGTGTTAAATGTAACCTTGGAACAGAATCAATGACTTTGCAGTAGATGATAACTTATAGGTGATCAGTTTCTCTGAGCAGATACCAAATGTCATGTGCACATTAACCCCTGTAGAATTTCAAAATACAACTATTCTGATATTCCACTTATCTAATGCATAGTTTGGGGGCCGACGTGGTCATGAGGCCTCAAGTGTTCGAGGTCTCAGTTTCAGGCTGGAATTTTTTCACAGTAAGTCTCCCTCCAGCTTCTAGTAATTTCCCCTGGTCTATGGGTAGTAAGATCAAACGCCTGTGTGCATAGCTGCGCACGTTAAAAAAATGACTTGAAATTTGGAAATTAAAAAATAGTAGTCTAACAGCAATGCCCTGGCAAAATTTTGAGTCAAAAATCTATTCAAAGTATTTCAGGATCCTCGCCAGTGCTAAAATGACAACAGTAGTACACCGCAGCCAACCATCTTTGCATATACAGCACAGAAAAATTACTGATAACTTTCCGGGAATGTGAACTACGGATCATGCCAATGTTCTGATATTGACAACAAAAGCTGAGTTCAGACACTTGCCACCTTAAATTGTTGAATATTTAAATTTTTGTTTGTTTATTTACACTGTACCCATAAGTGTCATTTTCTTTTGGGCCAACTCGTCGCTTCACCTAGGCAAGTAAGCTGCAAAGATGGATGAAAGCGTAAAGCAGAAATCAGCATCAGCAGGAAAACGTGTTTCCAAGGGAAACAAATCTGAATGATCATGAAGAGTTATCTTCTCCTCAACCCAGATCACATTAGAAATGAGGTACTGATATGAACACAAAAATGCCTTTATCATGATGGCTTGGTGTCATCTTCTGGCACTGCCTCAGGGATGACTTCTGTGACCTTCTCTAAGGATGACAACACCTGAGACAGAAGTTTCAACTTGTCAACACCATCCATCAATTCCCTGCAGAGACATACACTTCAGTAAATCATGGGAATAACATGTGTGCCATAATTTATAATTAAAATAAATGAGACAATATTTTGTTTTCTTTTTCACGTTCACCGGCTGTAAACTTCGGCAGAAAGTTCTAGTTGTTCGTCCATATCTGGACTTTAATCTTGTTCCTTACCTGAGTGATGCACGCACATCTATTTTATAGATCTGACTTTGTAATCAGATTTTTGGTTCCCTGCCTCTCAGGCAGATGCACTCTGACTTCAAAGAAAGCCCTCTAATTAGTCGGCTTTTATGACATGCTTGTTGTGAAGGCAGGTGGTCTATTCTTGTTCTCCCCACAATGGGGCCCAGGAATCCACATGGAGAGAGACAATTCTATGGTGCTTATGTCCCTAAGTGTTTTACATACATAAATATATAAAAATGTTCAGACAGAAGGAGTTGGAGGAGCACGTGGCTGAAGGTTAGAACACTGGGCTATCATGTAGAAGTGCAGGTTCGAAATCTCAGCAAGGATATGAAGGCTGTTTTCTGCTGGGGGTAAAAATTAAACATCCTTACCAGCACATTCTTTTTAGTGTTCACAGGCTGTAAAATCTGGCAACAATTTCTGGTTGTTTGACCTTTTCTGCACTATGATCCTGTTCCAGAAATTGAGTTTTTCATGCACATCTATCTAACAGATCTGGTTATTTGTATGCAGACTGCTGGTTCTTTGTCCCTCAGGGAGTGCAGTATAACTTTGAAGGAAACATTCCTAATTAGTTTCCTTGTACAATATACTTTGGGAGGTGGGGGTGGGGTCTATTTTTCTTCAACAAAACGGAGCCCTGAACCTTATACTGTGACCCTGCACATTCATGGTAACATAAGCCAAGTGGTCTTAAATCCCCAGGCTGAAGACACCCCTGTCTTACGGCTCCCTAAAAAGTTGTACAGACATGCAGTAACTTAGCAATCCTCAAGCAAAAAGATTTGTTTAAGTACATTGGTACCCCGATAAAATTAGATGTAAGATGTATTAAAAAAGTTAATTGTACAATAACTCAAGCAAAGGCGGTATTTCAAAATGAAAAATATTCTAGGCAATCTTTCCCTGTTTATTAGGATGAGAAACAGAATTTTCAAAAGCTATATAAATTCTATCCTGATAAAAGGAAGTGAATCATGGACAATCAATGGATCAGTCAAAAATTATTTGGAAGCTGCAGAGATGTGGTTTAATAGATAAGTGATGAGAATATCCTGGACAGATAAAGAAAAGTAACAAAGATTTCTTAGGATAAACTAACCCGGGATGTGAACTGACCGCATTCATCAGAAAGAGACAGTATGCATTCTATGGTCATTTGACGAGGAGAAAACTGGAGTACATAGTGACAGTCGCAAAACTGGCACTATAAATATGTACTTTAGCTTTCCCAACATCAAGATGTACTCCAGCTTTAACCCATCAAGATGTACACTAGCTTTAACCCATCAAGATGTACTCTAGCTTCCCCACCACCAAGATGTACTCTAGCTTCCCCACCATCAAGATGTACTCTAGCTTCCCCACCATCAAGATGTACTCTAGCTCCCCACCCCCTCATCAAGATGTACTCTAGCTTCCCCACCACCAAGATGTACTCTAGCTTTCCCACCATCAAGATGTACTCTAGCTCCCCACCCCCTCATCAAGATGTACTCTAGCTTTCCCACCATCAAGATGTACTCTAGCTTTCCCACCACCAAGATGTACTCTAGCTTTCCCACCATCAAGATGTACTTCAGCTTTCCCACCATCAAGATGTACTCCAGTTTTCCCACCACCAAGATGTACTCCAGCTTTCCCACCATCAGGATGTACTTCAGCTTTCCCACCATCAAGATGTACTTCAGCTTTCCCACCATCAAGATGTACTTCAGCTTTCCCACCATCAAGATGTACTCCAGCTTTCCCACCATCAAGATGTACTTCAGCTTTCCCACCATCAAGATGTACTCCAGCTTTCCCACCATCAAGATGTACTTCAGCTTTCCCACCATCAAGATGTACTCTAGCTTTCCCACCATCAAGATGTACTCCAGCTTTCCCACCATCAAGATGTACTCTAGCTTTCCCTCCATCAAGATGTACTCCAGTGTTCCCACCATCCAGATATACTTGTTTTCCCAACATCAAGATGAACTCTAGCTTTCCCACCATCAAGATGTACTTCAGCTTTCCCAATATCAAGATGTTCTCTAGCTTTCCCACCATCAAGATGTACTCTAGCTCCCCACCCCCTTATCAAGATGTACTCTAGCTTTCCCACCATCAAGATGTACTTCAGCTTTCCCAATATCAAGATGTTCTCTAGCTTTCCCACCATCAAGATGTATTCTAGCTCCCCACCCCCCCCCCCCCCCCCCCCCCCCTCATCAAGATGTACTCTAGCTTTCCCACCATCAAGATGTACTTCAGCTTTCCCAATATCAAGATGTTCTCTAGCTTTCCCACCATCAAGATGTACTCTAGTTTTCCCCCAATCAAGATGTACTCCAGCTTTTCCATTATCAAGATGTACTCCCTTTTTTTAATGACAGTTGTCTCATATTATGTTAGACAGATGTTTATAGTTCAATCAACAAAACTGATGTGGTCAACATTACACCTGCCACCTTGACTTCCCAAGACATTTCCTGCTACTCATTTTAGGCCTGCCAATCTAGGAACCAAAAATCAGTTTTGAAAAAAACTAACAGGGTTTCGAATATAAGAACTTAAGGCAGGCAGGCGAGCATCTAACCATATGTTTCCGCAGCTCCCACAAAACAAGACAAACATACTTCAAATTTCTCTCTGCTATGGCTGCTGCAGATTTCAGCTCATCTGACGTATATTTGGTTCTCTCACGTATATCAGTCAAACCATGGTCTCCAGATCTGTAGGCTTCAGCCTCCGCACTCAAGGCCACCACCTGCTTCTAAAAAAAAAAGGGGGGCAAATCATGAAATTATTTGACAGGAAATGTACCAGAAATGTCTGGTTAGTAGGTAATCACATTACCAACTTTATAGCTAACAGGTCATAATCACATTACCAACTTTATAGCTAACAGGTCATAATCACAGTACCAACCATATAGCTAAAGGTCATAATCACATTACCAACTTTATAGCTAACAGGTCATAATCACATTACCAACTTTATAGCTAACAGGTCATAATCACATTACCAACTTTATAGCTAACAGGTCACAATTACAGTACCAACTTTATAGCTAACAGGTCATAATCACATTACCAACTTTATAGCTAACAGGTCATAATTACATTACCAACTTTATAGCTAACAGGTCACAATTACAGTACCAACTTTATAGCTAACAGGTCATAATCACATTACCAACTTTATAGCTAACAGGTCACAATTACAGTACCAACTTTATAGCTAACAGGTCATAATCACATTACCAACTTTATAGCTAACAGGTCACAATTACAGTACCAACTTTATAGCTAACAGGTCATGATCACATTACCAACTTTATAGCTAACAGGTCATAATCACAGTACCAACTTTATAGCTAACAGGTCATAATCACAGTACCAACCATATAGCTAAAGGTCATAATCACAGTACCAACTTTATAGCTAACAGGTCATAATCACAGTACCAACCTTATAGCTAACAGGTCATGATCACAGTACAAACTTTATAGCTAACAGGTCACCACACAGTTTCTCTCTTCCTACGCCAACAAAAACCCACACAGAATGTCCATCACAATCCAATGAAAACAAGACTGACACAGGCTGCAGTTTTAGCATATCCAACAGCAGACACTCACTTTAAATGCATAAGGCCACAGTCAAAAGTGCCAACACAAACAGTCCAACACTAGAAATACAGTTGATCATTAATGGAAGCAGCAGTTACAAAAGATCAATAGTTGCACATGCAATTATTTGCATAAGGCAGTTTACAACAGAAGCCCTGTACCTAACTCAGTAGCTGGGCCACAGAACTATTTATTTTTCAGTCAGGAAAATGCAACGGCTAACTATTGTCATAAGAAGAAACTTACCAGGACTAAAAACAGTAAACTGCCTTTTGGCTATATTAACAGGAAGTCAATGGTTATGATCAGGAGAAAACTGCAATATTAAAAGGGGTTACTCCATAAGGTCAAAGGGTTGCTCCATAAAAATAAGGTATTGCTCCATAAGGTCAAGTGGTTGCTCTATAAAGTCAAGGGATTACTACATAAGGTCAAGGGATTGCTCCATAAGGTCATAGGATTGCTTGAAAGGGTACAGTGGTTGCTCCATAAGGTCAAGGGATTGCTCCATAAGGTCAAAGGATTGCTCCTTGAGCGCTTATTGAAATGTATCAAGGGCTTCTGTTGTCAGTTCTTAACTCCTAACTAAAAATATTGACGAACCTGCAAAGATTTCACCTCCTGCCTGAGTTTGGTTACTGTCGCCTCCGCCTGGACAGCTCGTTTCTAAGTGATAAAAAAAAAAAAAAAAAAAAAAAAAAACCAGAAGTGAGATATCTACAATAAATCCCAAATGTAACTAGAAGCAACAGAATTAGAAATGACGGTTTAAGGAACGAAGCTGGGGTGGAACCAGCACTAAAATACACCGAAAGACAAAGACCGCATGGTTCAGATATGTGTCAAGACACCATCTAGAAAGACAGCTCAATATCAAATGCACTACAGAGAAAACTACAAGAATATCAGTATCATGAAAAAAAATAAAAAAAAAAATAAAAAGGACAACCTGTCAGCTTCACATTAACTTCTTTTTCTTCTTCAGGATTCCGAGCTCTTGAGGTTAATTGCTGCAGATATCACCCGCCTCCATTCATTTCTCTGGTTGGCCTTCTCTTTCCAGTTGGTGACACCAAAGGTCTGCAGATCTCTCTAGACATTATCTCTCCATTGTCTTCTTGGTCTGCCTCGTGGTCTACGACCATTCATTTCCCTGGTGTATACAGTGTTAACCTCTCTGTCATCTGACATTCTCTCAATATGCCCCAGCCATTTCAACCTATCAGCTCTCATGATGCCAATAATCAATGGTGATTTAAACAAATTATGAAATTTGCTGCTGCTTCTCACTCTCTGTTCCCCACTGTTTAAATCTTTGATGGGTCCAAAGATTTGTCGTAATACTTTGTTTTCAAACACCTGTAATAAGCCTTTATCACTTTTAGTTGTGCTCAAAGTTTCAGAGTCATATAAAACGACTGGTCTTATCAGCGTTTTATAATATTTTGATCTTGGTGTTGCATTTTCAGAAACACAAATACGAAGAGAACAATGCAGATAGACAGCCTGCTTCAGCACATTACATGAATATACACCACAAATACAAACAAGAAAACATAAAATCACTTAACTGAAGCATCTGCAAGAAAAATCACATTTCTGTCTAGCCAGTTGAATCTCTGATACATGTCTGACCACTGGAAATCAATACTAGCCAGAAAAAGCTGTCAAGGTAAGGACTGTAACTAACATATATTTGATAAAATTGTGTACTGGATGTTAAGGCCCCTGGGTGAAATGTAGAATATCAGAACTTACTGGTGGTGTTTCTTCAACACAAAGAGAATATAAAGAACATCAGATGCACTACAAATAAAAGTGACTACAAAAATATGAAGTAACTGACTAGTGGTGTCAATGTTCTTATGCATAAAGAAAACAACAAGAACATCAGATGCACTATAAAGAGAACAACAAGAACATCAGATGCACTATAAAGAGAACAACAAGAACATCAGATGCACTGTAAAGAGAAAAACAAGAACATCAGATGCACTATAAAGAAAAAAACAAGAACATCAGATGCACTATAAAGAGAAAAACAAGAACATTTTATGCACTGTGAAAAGAACAACTAGAACATCAAATGCACTATAAAGAAAACAACAAGAACATCAAATGCACTATAAAGAGAACAACAAGAACATCAGATGCACTATAAAGAGAACAACAAGAACATCAGATGCACTATAAAGAGAACAACAAGAACATTAGATGCACTATAAAGAAAACAACAAGAACATCAGATGCACTATAAAGAGAAAAACAAGAACATTAGATGCACTATAAAGAGAACAAGAAGAACATCAGATGTACTATAAAGAAAACAACAAGAACATCAGATGCACTATAAAGAGAAAAACAAGAACATTAGATGCACTATAAAGAGAAAAACAAGAACATTTTATGCACTGTAAAAAGAACAACTAGAACATCAAATGCACTATAAAGAGAAAAACAAGAACATTAGATGCACTATAAAGAGAACAAGAAGAACATCAGATGTACTATAAAGAAAACAACAAGAACATCAGATGCACTATAAAGAGAAAAACAAGAACATTAGATGCACTATAAAGAGAAAAACAAGAACATTTTATGCACTGTAAAAAGAACAACTAGAACATCAAATGCACTATAAAGAGAAAAACAAGAACATTAGACGCACTATAAAGAGAACAAGAAGAACATCAGATGTACTATAAAGAAAACAACAAGAACATCAGATGCACTATAAAGAGAACAACAAGAACATCAGATGCACTATAAAGAGAACAACAAGAACATCAGATGCACTATATATATAAGAATAGACCCACTGCCTATCCAAAAGCAGGTGGTAAGAGTCGACTGATTAGGAGCTTCCTTCAAAGTCAGAGTACATCTGCCTGAGAGGCAAGGAACCAACAGTCTGCACACAAATGTGTCAGATCTGTCAAACGGATGCACACACAACACTCATGTTCTGGAAAAGGGCTGCAGTTCAGAAGTGAGTGGACAAACATCCAGAATTTTCCTTCCATCAGAGTTTACAGCTGGTGAACGCAAAGAAGAAGAAGAAGATGCACTATAAAGAGAACAAGAACATCAGGTGCACTCATAACTGAACTTAAAAAACAAACAAATGTCTAACAACGGAACAAGAAGAATACCATATATAGTAACTTATTAATATAGTTAGTCAGTTATCTTTAATAAAAAGTGTACTACTAGAACAGTAGAACTTACTGTTGTTGTTACTAAGTTTTCTTCAACTTGTAGAACCGCTTTCTCTAAAACTGCCATATCCTCTACTTCCTTCTTTTTCTGTCGCTCCAAATCTATTTTGAGCTGTGATAGCCTGTGTAAATGTTAGAAATAAGAGAGAGAGATAAATTGCAACAAAAAAAAAGAATGTGTGATTAAATAAAAGCATACTAAAACAGAAGACTTTTGAGCATGTCTTTTTTCTTAAAAAAAAAAGTGTCTGTACTCACAAGACGCTTTAAAAAAAAAGGTGCTGGTTCGCACCTCAAAGGGCCTATTACATTATTGGTAATAAAATTATACCTAAAAGAAATTGTGCTAGTACTGCATACCACTGTTTATGGGAGCCACATTAGCGCAGATGATAGGAGACTCGCTTTCAAATCCAGCTGCAACTCGCTGCAGCCACGGTCAGTGTTCGAAACCGGGCGGTTCCCGGGGTTCACCCAGCCACTAGGAAATGGGTACCAGAGTTGACACTCGGGGTAAATGGAGGAACGCTGCTGTAGCTACGGAGTTACATGCAGACGGCAACACAGGCGGACTTTTTCTTATCAGCTGTCCATACGGGTGGCAGAGCTCTTATGGTTTATGCAATGACGCTGGTTCACATCTCCCAACTTTACCTTTTACTGCCAGAATAAAAAGCCTTGCTTTAAAAAACAAAACAAAAAACATTATTTTTCTGGTCTTCCTTTAGTTTTCAGGTTTTTTCAACGTGTGTCCTATCCGACGGCGGTGTCTTTTCCTTACCTCTTGGTCCACAGGAACTTGTTTAGTTCTCTCCTAAAGCTTTACATCAGGGTAACATAAAACCATAGGTGGTGGACTCAGCTTGAGAGCCGCCGCAAGTTCAAGGCTGCCTCAAGCTCCCAGACTGTAGGTAGTGGATCACACTACACTGATCATGGCTACAATCATCACCCGACCAGTATGCTCACTGCCAAAAGGAAAAGCAATGGCAAACTACCTTTTCCAAGATGACAAGAAAACGCATGGTTTCACAGCTTACAAAAGATGCCAATTGCAATGAGAAAAGTGTGTTAAAATGCTGTGTAGAAATTGTGCTGTTATATGCATGTGAGACACAGGTTATGAGCAGACAAGGTGAAAAATATTTACTTGTGGCAGAGATGTGATTTTCAAGAAGAATGCAAAGAATATCATAGAAGGACAGAAGAACAAATGCTTTGATGACTAGATCTTAACAAGATGAACCTCAATTACCAACATTCTGAAGCAGAACACTAACTTTGAAAAACTTACCTTAGGTTTTTGTCCTGGCCTTTTTGCCTCTCCCTGTTTAGTTCAGATCTCAAGGCATCATTTTCTTCTTGCAGCTAGTCCCATAAGAGAACAAATATGAGCATAAACTGTTTTCACCATGATAGGTGTTGAACACATGCACACAAGGTATGGTTAATATTCTTCTTCCTCTCCTACACTGGCGCTAAAAATGGTGGTTGACACATTGTGCTTAGGTTTACAACTAGGCTGTGATATCTGCACTTTTCAACACAAAATATCCTATTTCAGCAAACCTCAATTAAATCCCCCTTTAAGACATGTTTGTTGGAAGGGGGGTCTAATCACCCCCCTCCCTACCTCTTTTCCCAAACCGGCCCCGTAATTGGGCCCTGGAAGCCACCCAAGGAAAATAAAATAATATAGCCACTTTATGGAACAGAAGAATTCAAGTAAACAATATCAACAGAATCAACCAATGCAGCAAACTGAAGCAGAAGGAGTAACAAATAAATATATGATAATTTTTCTTTTGTTTGTAAACCATATTCACATCATTGGTGCATCAGATATATTCCCCGCTCTCAAGTGACTCTGTTCAACCTGTATTTTGTAGGTTATAATTATGGTGTTCTCAACTGACTGTTGCACCTGTATTTTGTAAGTTATAATTATGGTGTTCTCAACTGACTGTTGCACCTGTATTTTGTAGGTTATAATTATGGTGTTCTCAACTGACTGTTGCACCTGTATTTTGTAGGTTATAATTATGGTGTTCTCAACTGACTGTTGCACCTGTATTTTGTAGGTTATAATTATGGTGTTCTCAACTGACTGTTTCACCTGTATTTTGTAGGTTATAATTATGGTGTTCTCAACTGACTGTTCCACCTGTATTTTGTAGGTTATAATTATGGTGTTCTCAACTGACTCTGTTCAACCTGTATTTTGTAGGTTATAAATATGGTGTTCTCAACTGACTGTTTCACCTGTATTTTGTAGGTTATAATTATGGTGTTCTCAACTGACTGTTCCACCTGTATTTTGTAGGTTATAATTATGGTGTTCTCAACTGACTGTTCAACCTGTATTTTGTAGGTTATAATTATGGTGTTCTCAACTGACTGTTGCATCTGTATTTTGTAGGTTATAATTATGGTGTTCTCAATTGACTTTTCCACTTGTATTTTGTAGGTTATAATTATGGTGTTCTCAACTGACTGTTGCATCTGTATTTTGTAGGTTATAATTATGGTGTTCTCAATTAACTCCGTTCAACCTGTATTTTGTAGGTTATAATTATGGTGTTCTAAACTGACTGTTGCACCTGTATTTTGTAGGTTATAATTATGGTGTTCTCAACTCACTGTTTCACCTGTATTTTGTAGGTTATAATTATGGTGTTCTTAATTGACTTTTCCACTTGTATTTTGTAGGTTATAATTATGGTGTTCTCAACTGACTGTTCCACCTGTATTTTGTAGGTTATAATTATGATGTTCTCAATTGACTTTTCCACTTGTATTTTGTAGGTTATAATTATGGTGTTCTCAACTAACTGTTCCACCTGTATTTTGTAGGTTATAATTATGGTGTTCTCAACTGACTGTTGCACCTGTATTTTGTAGGTTATAATTATGGTGTTCTAAACTGACTCTGTTCAACCTGTATTTTGTAGGTTATAATTATGGTGTTTTAAACTGACTCTGTTCAACCTGTATTTTGTAGGTTATAATTAGGGTGTTTGATGTTGTTTCTTATTTTTTTCGGGGGTCTGCTTGATGGTTGTGGCTGATTTTGCTCTTCTTCCATTTGAAGGCTTCGCTACTTGCTGTCTTCTGCCTGGTTGTTTCTTCTTTGTCGTGTCCTGCTCGCGTGGCGTGTTTCCCATTTCCTTTAGGCGTTGTTCTGAAATGACATTAGTCCTGATAAGGACTACGCCTACCTCTCCAGAAACTTCTGGCCCTCTGGCTTGTTTCTCATTGGCTAGTGCTGGGGGAAGAGGTGGTGTCTTTGGTCTGGCTGGGCTGTCGATGACATCCGAGTCGCTGTGGCTGTGGCATCATTCTCATCCTTGGACATATGATGCTAGACCCTTTTTTATAGACCAATGGGTGTCATAGTTGCCAGGTACTAAATGAGTTAACGTTCAAGCAATATAAACTTCTATTCGGCATTCACCCTTAAAGGGGTGGCTGATCCATTGTGATGTGGCTATAAGTTAGGCTGTGATATATGTGGTTTTTCCCAATGCCTATGACTTAAAGAAACTCCTAATTAGTAAAAAAATTTTAAAAAGTAAAGGACCTTTTTCCACACCTTGAGGCGCATTTGGGCATATAGGGCTAGAAATATATTTTACAGACCAATCGGCACTCAGTGTGTGATGTGGTCAATATCATGCCGGCTCCTTTACTTCCCAGGACTGTATCTGATACCCACTCAAGGCTGGGTTGACCTGGGAGCTAAGGTCATTTTTGAAGCAAGCTCAGTTCTGTAAGGATCCGACCCACGACCTTCTGATCCGCTACACTGCGGCGACTCCAAAACTCTTAATTAGTCATCTTTTACAACATGTCTGTTAGGGGACAGTGGGACGATTTACGATTCTCATCCCGCCCCCCCCCCCCCCCCAACCCACTTCATGGCTCTAGAATCCAAATCTAAAGATGCATACATTATTTATGATCTAAAACAGAAGAAAAGGTGCAAGAATAAAAACATACCAAACGTATTCTATCCAGCAGGTCATCTACATTCTCCCGGGTACTGTCCCCTGCCACACTTCCTGTTGCCTGGCGTTCATTTACCAGTGCAGTGTCTGATAAAAAATCAGGTAAAGCTAAAGGACCACTTGAGGTAGCATCTTGAACAGGTAGAGGACTCTCCCGTCTGCTGCCATGACCAATTGTTTCCTCCTCATCATGAAAATTAAATGGGTTAAATTCACTGGAAGTTTTCAAATTACCATCAAGAAACAAGGGTAAATCCAACGGGGCTATTGGTTCTTTTTTGCTTGGTCTCACCATGAAAGGAATCTGGCATAACTGTTTTGTCAGCATTATTAACGTAAACCCCATTGACATGGTCCAAAATTCTGCCACTCAAGTGAGCCTGGTCTGACGAAGAGTGCGAAGTGTCTGCATCTGAACTGTCACCAGATGCCAAAGAAGAACTACTTCCTTTCTTGGCACTTACGACTCCGGAGGACAGGAATTTTTTGAATGAAAATGGATTATCCTTTTGTTTCTCCTTCTTGTGACTTCCCTTCAGTGGTCCTAAAAAATATATTCATAGAAAAAAACAAATGAAACCGTTGGGATATGAAACTATTACAGATAAATTAGATACAATGGTATCTAAATATACGTCCTAATCCATTTCAGATGATTGGACGTATGCCAAATGAATTTTCCAATAAGAAATAAAGGTAGAATTATTAATCCATCCCCACAAACAAACCATTTTGTTATTGGCATATTATGCATTGATCAGTTTTAAAAAAAACAACAACAATTTAAACACTGCTAAAAACTAAAACACATAAATCCAAAAGCAATCAGATAAATGAAAATTTAACCCCACCAGCTAAAAATAGTCGAACTATTAGTGAAACTACTAGTGGAACTACAAGTGGAACTACAAGTGGAACTACAAGTAGAACTAAAAGTGGAACTACTAGTGGAACTACAAGTGGAACTACAAGTGGAACTACTAGTTGAACTACTAGTGGAACTACTAATACCGACTAGAATGGTATGAAAAAGGAAGAAGAAGGGGATGTTACTGTTTGGAAGAAGAGTCCCCCTCGATTAATACTTTAATTTTTCTGTCGCTTTTCCCTTCTTTTCCCTGACTGAAGCTCCCCAGGTTTGACTTTTACTAAAAACATTTAACTTTCCCTGTACCAAGCAATATATCAGTTAGTCTGAGTTGAGCTGATTCAAAATCCAACATCCCAGCATTGGGGGCATTCCTATAAGCACTCCCCATCTTCAGCAGCCAGCACAGAATTCCAATACTAATGGTGCCAGTAGCATTCTGATTATATGTCCTTCGTGCCTCTCCCTTGAGCACTGAGAGTCGGCCAAATCCTATAAGCACTCCCTGTTGCATCACTCTCATGAGATTGTGGTAATCCATTTGCTCCTACAAATTGTACATGCTCCCCCACAAGGCCCTAACCATGCCTGCCTTTTCATGCAAATATCGCAGCTATGCTGTGAACGGGCACACCATAATTAAATATTCGGATGAGTGCAAAAGAATAAGATTTTACAGGCTGGCACTAAAGGAGTTAAGATATGTAAATTCAAAAATATATTCAAAATTTTTGATTTGTATCCCACATATCGTCGGCTCTGTGGCTAAGTTGATGCGAACACTTCGAAATGCCTTGCGGTGGTTTTGACAGTGGTATCAAGAAAAGCTGACCGTCCAGAAAGCAATGGCAAACTACTGGACGTAAATTTGCCAAGAAAAACCACACAACAGCCAAGGGCTGTTGGGGTTGGTTCTGCAACGTCCTGTAAAGGATATGCAACTAACCTATCCCACATATCATCAGATAGAGACAGTCAACATGTGCTGGTCATGTTATAAGAAGGGGGAAACTGAAACATGTTGTCACCACTGAAAAGAGAGTCTGAGAAAGACAGAGCGAGAAGATTTCTGACAGCTTTTTGTCATTGCATGGAGGGGTGTCATGCCAACACACACTCGAACCTACTGATGATACAGGCATAATCCCCCACGCCAGTTGGCAAGGCACTTGATAATTTTATACAACCAAGCAGGTATTTATCATTCACTTAAGTATTCATAATTGTATTAATATTAGTAATATATTACTATGTCCAAATAATATCCCAATTTGGCTATCCTCCGAATAATGGTCCCAAATTATCGAGGCTAAGAAAATACCATCACAGGGCCTTAGTCATAAGTAAATTGTGCACCTTGGCTATCCTCAGAATAACGGCCATATATTATGGCGGCCAAAAATGCACCTTGACAGGGCCTCAATCACATGTAAATTGCGGACTTCCTTCGACAAACACATCGCGGGAAAACTAGGAATACTGTCCTTTGACAATTTTGAGAAATGCAACAATACACACGATAACAGCGACATGGCGAGGAGACCACGCACTCTGACGCAGGTTAGCCCGAGTGTATCCCACATGCCACTACGCGTGGATGGGAGCTAAATTAGATGGCTGGGACTCACAAGCAGCAGCTACCGCATCTCCTGCAACTTCCTCCAATTTATTTGCTCGTGAGTCCCAGCCGCTTAGTTTTGCTCCCTTTTCCCGCTGCGAGTAGCGGCGCAGGAGTTACTTTAGGCGGTGAAAACTGCATTGCCAATGCAGCACTGATCATATTTAGCCGAGTTTCAATGGTGTCACAGAAACAAAGAGCAGATTTTCGGGCACTATTTGCAACTTCTGTGCCACTATTTTCAGATATAAAGGCCTTAATTATCGCTAAGTAGTCAACTTCATTATTTTCCTTTTTTTTGTTCCTCAATATTTTCGAGTTCAAGTTTTTGAATGTTTACAACACACGACTTAATGCGGCCCTGTCAGGATGTGTTTTTGGCCTCCATAATATGTGACCGTTATTCTGAGGATAGCCTGGACCTCTTTCTAGCGACTATACAGCTGAGAGTTCCCCTGGCGGCTAAACTACATGACTAGGACTCACAAGCAGCAGCTACCGCATGCCCAGCAGCTTCCTCCATTTTATTTGCTCGTAAGTCCTAGCCATCTAGTTTAGCCACCACCGCGCAGCTGGGGATACTCTCGGCGGTTTCGGTATAATCGCCGGAAAGATGTCTGCAATGTATACATGACTGAGGCCTTATTAGGGTATTTTCTTAGCCTCGATAATTTGGGACCGTTATTCGTAAGATACCACCCAATTACCTGCAGCTGACGTTGATGCGTCTTCGCGAGGTGTGGGTCCTTTTGCAACATGTTTTATTTCGTCAACAGAGAAAATATCATCAAGATCATCGCCACTGTCGCTTAATCTTACACCGCTGGCGTCGCGACAAACAGTTTTGTCTTTTGACGACACAAACTTCTTAAAGGAGAACGGGTTGTCATCTTCCACACCCCTCTCCGCCATCTTGTTCGTTTGTCAACAATGGGTACGCAACTCCTGTATGTTTGGAGGATTTATTTTTCAAAGTTATTTCCCTTTACACATTAAAAACAGAATCATTTGACGTTAGTTAGTTAGTTAGTTAGTTAGTTAGTTAGTTAGTTGGGTTATCATCATTGCACTCCGGACATGTCCATAGGTGCTCAGATCCTCCCCTCAGTATGAACCCCAACGTCCGATGGCTAATAGTACCAGTTCTATGTTGATTAACAAGTCTTCTGACGTGTCCGGTGTGCGTCTCTTTTTTTGCTGTGCCGATCTTAATTCCCAAGTCTGCCATTCTGGCGAGTGATGTGGATTCACTGCCCCCAAAGTCCTCTACCCTTCCCATTTCTCTGAGGGCATTGATATATCAGCATGATCCATAGGCATTACACCGGCTGTCTTTACTTCCCACTTTATGCTGGGTCGACCTGCGACGCCGCGTACCAAGATAAAAATCCACGCAGCCCGCACGGGTTTCGATCGCGGCACGTTGGAATTACAAGTCGGACTCGCAACGCCTAAGCCACGGACGCCGTAAGTATTTGACAGAGTGGATAGAAATGTGTTGTTGAATTGCTTAAGAAGATTGGAATTAGCAAACATGTAACTAAAGTGTGTGGGGGCCAATATAACACAGTGGTGTGTGCTATCTTCCCTGATTTTTATAACATACATTGACAATATGTGCAAAGAAGCAGAGAGTGAAGAAAGGGATGATGTCTTATAATTGTTATTTTGCAGATGATCAAGTATTATTAGCTGAAACATAATAGAGCTTGCAGAATCATATACACCAAATCAATACTAAAAGTTAGAAATATAATATGAGGATAATGATTGATAAGACAAAAGCAATGGTAACAAGCAGACAGAAATAAACCACATAAATCAAAGTAAATAACACAGAAATAAAACAAACGAGCGAATTTAAATTTCTAGTGTCATTTTTCACCACAGATGGAAGAATGAAAAGAGAAAGAAATCAATATAAGATGTGCGAAAGCAAACCAGGTCATGGGAATGTTAACACCACTTCTGACGCAATGAAAGATATCTCGTCAACTAAAGCGAATCTCACAACAACGGTTTTCTGGCCGACATTGTCCTACCAATGCCAAACATGGACACTTACTAAAACTAACGAGCGGAAATATCTTAACAACAGAGATGAGATTTCTCAGGATAGCTGACAAAAAGAGACACAATCAAGAACAAAGAAATAAAAAGAAGACTTGGACTGAAGCCAGTCATACAAAGAATAACAAATGAGATGATTTGGCCACCTAATGAGAATGCCCTGGTACAAACTGCCACAAAAAGCCACGCTGAAAAAAATATAATAAACACAGAGCAAGGGGAAGACCACGCAAGAGATGGGACGACATCATCAAGAGCAACCTTTAAAGAAATGATTGCAGAAAGAGACTGGAAGTCTGAGAAGAAACAGACTAAACGTAAATGTTGACAACAACGGTCCTAAAATCACTTGCTATAATTGCGGAAGACTTTTCATAAAGCAGGCGGGTCTTGCAAGTTACACTCGCCATCGCCATGGGCTGCGAGTTCCCATGTCGCCTCATGCTTCCTAATAGAGCAATAGAAAACTATCGTCTGGAAAGACGGAAAGTGCCAATCGTATGCCATGCCGACGGAGAATTTTTATGTTATCACAATCGAAGTAACTACACTTGGGCATTCATATACATGCTCAGTTCTTCGATGCAGCAGCAACAACAATGTACCTCTACTGACTGATCCCAAGAGAAATTGGCTGCAGTGTCTCTTATTTTGATCTCAAAGACGGAGCCGCCGTGCTTCACCATTTTTCTTCCCGAAGCAGCATAATCGTATTAACGTCAGATTTCGCCATTATCCACCAGTCTATAAAACATGCGTCGGCTTTGTGGCTAAGTCGATGCGAACGCTTCGTAAT